CAGCTCCGTAGGCAAGCACCATGGTCTTGTAGCAGATGCGAGCTTCAACTGGAAGCCAGTGGAGTGTGCGGAGGAGCGGGGTGACGTGAGAGAACTTGGGAAGGTTGAACACCAGACGGGCTGCGGCATTCTGGATGAGTTGTAGGGGTTTAATGGCACAGGCAGGGAGCCCAGCCAACAGCGAGTTGCAGTAATCCAGATGGGAGATGACAAGTGCCTGGATTAGGACCTGTGCCGCTTCCTGTGTAAGGCAGGGTCGTACTCTCTGAATGTTGTAGAGCATGAACCTACAGGATCGAGTCACCACCTTGATGTTAGCGGAGAACGACAGGGTGTTGTCCAGGGTCACACCAAGGCTCTTTGAACTCTGGGAGGAGAACACAACGGAGTTGTCAACCGTGATGGCGAGATCATGGAACGGGCAGTCCTTCCCCGGGAGGAAGAGCAGCTCCGTCTTGCCAAGGTTCAACTTGAGGTGGTGATCCGTCATCCACACTGATATGTCTGCCAGACATGCAGAGATGCGATTCGCCACCTGGTTATCAGAAGGGGGAAAGGAGAAGATTAGTTGTGTGTCGTCTGCGTAGCAATGATAGGAGAGGCCATGTGAGGATATGACAGAGCCAAGTGACTTGGTGTATAGCGAGAATAGGAGAGGGCCTAGAACTGAGCCCTGGGGGACACCAGTGGTGAGAGCACGTGGTGCGGAGACAGATTCTCGCCACGCCACTTGGTAGGAGCGACCGGTCAGGTAGGATGCAATCCAAGAGTGAGCTGCGCCGGAGATGCCCAACTCGGAGAGGGTGGAGAGGAGGATCTGATGGTTCACAGTATCAAAGGCAGCAGACAGGTCTAGAAGGACAAGAGCAGAGGAGAGAGAGCTAGCTTTAGCAGTGCGGAGAGCCTCCGTGACACAGAGAAGAGCAGTCTCAGTTGAATGACCAGTCTTGAAACCTGACTGGTTTGGATCAAGAAGGTCATTCTGAGAGAGATAGCAAGAGAGTTGGCTAAAGACGGCACGCTCAAGAGTTTTGGAGAGAAAAGAAAGAAGGGATACTGGTCTGTAGTTGTTGATATCGGAGGGATCGAGTGTAGGTTTTTTGAGAAGGGGTGCAACTCTCGCTCTCTTGAAGACGGAAGGGACATAGCCAGCGGTAAAGGATGAGTTGATGAGCGAGGTGAGGTAAGGGAGAAGGTCACCGGAGATGGTCTGGAGAAGAGAGAAGGGGATAGGGTCAGCGGGCAGGTTGTTGGGCGGCCGGCCATCACAAGTCGCAAGATTTCATCTGGAGAGAGAGGGGAGAAAGAAGTCAAAGCATAGGGTAGGGCAGTGTGAGCAGGACCAGCAGTGTCATTTGACTTAACAAACGAGGATCGGATGTCGTCAACCTTCTTTTCAAAATGGTTGACGAAGTCATCCACAGAGAGGGAGGAGGGGGGAGGGGGATTCAGCAGGGAGGAGAAGGTTGCAAAGAGCTTCCTAGGGTTAGAGGCAGATGCTTGGAATTTAGAGTGGTAGAAAGTGGCTTTAGCAGCAGAAACAGAGAAAGAAAATTTAGAGAGGAGGGAGTGAAAAGATGCCAGGTCTGCAGGGAGTCTAGTTTTCCTCCATTTCCGCTCGGCTGCCCGGAGCCCTGTTCTGTGAGCTCGCAATGAGTCGTCAAGCCACGGAGCAGGAGGGGAGGACCGAGCCGGCCGGGAGGTTAGGGGACATAGAGAGTCAAAGGATGCAGAAAGGGAGGAGAGGAGGGTTGAGGAGGCAGAATCAGTAGATTGGAGGGAGAAGGATTGAACAGAGGGAAGAGATGATAGGATGGAAGAGGAGAGAGTAGCGGGAGAGAGAGAGCAAAGGTTGTGACGGCACATTACCATCTGAGTAGGGGCAGAGTGAGTAGTGTTGGAGGAGAGCGAGAGAGAAAAGGACACAATGTAGTGGTCGGAGACATGGAGGGGAGTTGCAGTGAGATTAGTAGAAGAACAGCATCTAGTAAAGATGAGGTCAAGCATATTGCCTGCCTTGTGAGTAGGGGGGACGGTGAGAGGGTGAGGTCAAAAGAGGAGAGGAGTGGAAAGAAGGAGGCAGAGAGAAATGAGTCAAAGGTAGACGTAAGGAGGTTAAAGTCACCCAGAACTGTGAGGGGTGAGCCATCCTCAGGAAAGGAACTTATCAAGGCGTCAAGCTCATTGATGAACTCTCCAAGGGAATCTGGAGGCCGATAAATGACAAGGATGTTAAGCTTGAATGGGCTAGTGACTGTGACAGCATGGAATTCAAATGAGGAGATAGACAGATGGGTCAGGGGAAAAATAGATAATGTCCACTTGGGAGAGATGAGGATTCCTGTGCCACCACCCCGCTGACCAGATGCTCTCGGTGTATGCGAGAACACATGGTCAGACGAGGAGAGAGCAGTAGGAGTAGCAGTGTTTTCAGTGGTAATCCATGTTTCCGTCAGCGCCAAGAAGTCGAGGAACTGGAGGGTAGCATAGGCTGAGATGAACTCTGCCTTGTTGTTCACAGAACGGCAGTTCCAGAGGCTGCCGGAGACCTGGAACTCCACGTGGGTCGTGCGTGCAGGGACCACCAGGTTAGAGAGGCAGCAGCCACGTGGTGTGAGGCGTTTGTATAGCCTGTGCGGAGAGGAGAGAACAGGGATAGACAGAGGCATAGTTGACAGGCTACAGAAAATGGCTACAATAATGCAAAGGAGATCGGAATTAAATGAACTAAACATCTGGGAAAGCGAGAGAGCGGGGCCTCCCTCACTTACGTTTCACTGAAACACAGAAATATAACTCTCCCAACTTCCACCTCAGAAACTATAATTAATGTAAACTACAGCGGTTCAATGTTTTCTAGGAACAGACTAACTTAGTTTATTCAGCTAGCTAACTTGGTACATTATTCTTCTGTGAAAAACCGTCCAGGGCACCGAATCACATGACGCTACAGCCAACTAGCATGCCAGCCTCCAACAACACGGTTTAGCACCAATACTCTGCCACAAATCCAATGCAAGTCAATGGTACCAATATAAGCGTTTTCGCGCTTCATGTCCAAATCATCTATAAGTAACTTCATTGAGTTACACAATCAGTTCTTAGATCCTTTGGGTCAGATGATTTGGACATTAAGCGTGAAAATGCTAATATAATGTAGGTGCCATTGACTTGCATTGGAGTTGTGCCACAAATACTCAAAAGTTACCATTTGAAACAGTGGCCAGGTAAACAAAAACAAATAATGGATTGTTGTCATATCTTCTCAATAGACTGCTTACAGGTTAAGGAAACCAATATGTCATTTTATAATTTGGGTGACTATCCCTTTAACCTTTCCCATTTTCTTTTTGATAGGCTACCATGAGGTGATTTCAAGTTAAATTTTAAAGGATGAACTAATGATTTCTGCCTTCCATATCATTAAAATAAAATGTGTGTGTTTAGCCGCTTCTAGAAATGTTAATACTGTACATCTAATATTTGTTTGTGATCATTAAGCGGGATTTCATTGGCAACGTGTCAGTGGTCCAGTTGTGTACCTTTTTATTGAGGAGGTAGACTACTACACTACCTGCCAGTTGGCAAACTCCGCTCCCATCATTAACACATGATTATCTGGGTGGTCTAATTGCTGTTTTTCACCACATTAAAAACATTATTGTGACTAAGCAATACTATGTCAAGGTGACCAGAAGGAGTTTAAAATGTGTTCTCATAGTTGTGCACTGAACATTTACAAAGTTCTCCCTCTTTCCCTTCTCCCTCTCTTCAGAGTGAACTGCAACAGCTTGTCTTGTTATTCCAGTGTTTCCACTACAGGCAGCTACCAACGAAGCTCATCTCCTGTCCAGAGAAAACAAAGCCACGCCACATTCCCAGAGTTTAATTTGCTGTTACATCGGAGGTCTGAGAAATGGGGTTTGGGGTCTGTCTGGAGGAGCTGGGTGGCTGGTAATCTGCACTGGTGGGGGCCTCAGCCCAGCCTGGAAATTGCTGGTGTGAATCCTTAGGAACACTCTCCCTGTAAAGACACATAAAGTAGCTTTCCTTTCCTACATTTTTTAAAATGATAAAATCATTATAATAAACTTCATGAAAACATTTTTAAGCATCAAAGTTTTCAAATTAGCATGTCAACCAAATAGCAAATTATGGCAATAGCCTAGATAAAAAGCTGTGATAAGGATAAAATGTAAAACAGCAGACATATGAAAAAGGCTAATGTTATCTCATTCTCACAGAAAATAAACAACAAACATATTGATGATGATGAGGATACTGATAGTGTTGTTTTTGTTGACTGTGTAAATCCTGAATTGTTTCATTCTGACCAATGACTGTAGGAACCAAATATCCGTTTTTAGATGTAGTTTTCTCCCGGACCGATTTCATCAACGGTAGGGAGGTGTCATCATACAAGCTAGCATGGTGCTAGTCAGTTAATCGAACTGTCTCTAATACAATTTTGTTGATCCACAGAAAGTTATTACCACGTATCGGTCAAGGTCTGTACATATTATAATAAGCTCACGAAATTTTTGATCTCGGTTGAGACTGTGGAATCTTTCACGATAGCGAACTCTTTGTTAGCTAACGTTTGTTAGCCAGCTTGCGAACACTAGTGACAGCACAGCGCTGTCATTTGGGTCACGAGTGTGTTGCTGCTGAATAAACCAGTTTACGTTCTCCAAAAGGTAGGTCACATATGTGATTTGCTTCATCTGCTACTGGGAGCCATAAATTGTCAATTGGTATTACTGCTTGCAAGTACTGAATCAGTTTGTTAGCCATTGAACTGTTAGCTAGAAAGGTAACGTTAACTAGCTAGCTGACCGTTTGTGTGGTGTGCTTGGGTCACGTTTTTGGGATAACGCAGGAACTTGCTTACTGTATGCCGTCAGCAAGAGAGCAAGTCTGGTTATCAGTACAATCATGTTGATGTGGTCATATAAATTGGACCCCTGGTGTGTGTGTGTGTCCCAGGTGTATAACAGAAGATGGAGCTGCAGGCAGTATTGATGGCTGCTGGTGGTGGGTCTCGTATGATGGACCTGACCTACAACACCCCCAAACCTCTGCTACCTGTAGGGAACAAGCCCCTCATCTGGTACCCCCTCAACCTGCTGGAGAGAGTGGGATTTGAAGGTAATATTCTCTATGTTTATGGCTTGATCCAATCAAACCCACTTTGTTGTATTACAGTAGCACTTTTTGTCATGGTCAAATTAAATCCCAGAATCATGGTGTTTGATACTAGAACTACCAAGTAGACTCCCTCTGGTAGATGCTTCCTGTTTTCAGAATAAGAGGTGTGTGTGTGTGTGTGTGTGTGTGTGGTGTGGGGTGGGGTGGGGTGGGGGGGCAGTATCAGTAGTGTGCAAACACTGTAGAAGGTTCCAGTCTTACTGCTTCAGACACCTCTTACAGGCTGTAATGACACTTTCAAGGTAACACAAAGCAGCTAAATACTTAAACAATGTAAAAGATATTCACATTTATGTATGACCTGAATGCAACAGTTCTAAATTGAAGAGTGAAGATACCACTTCTCCATGTTATTTAAGACTGTATGGATAACACGGCCAGTGCCATCTCACCTCATCCCACATGACAGAGCAGGCCAGCAACTCTACTGTTCTGTGCTGTACTCTACAGTGTGCCCCAATAACATCCCCACCCACACCATATTCCAGGGTTCCCCAACTGAATTTGGCCCATGGGTGGTTTTATTTGGCCCCCCAAGTTTTCTGAGCTAGAAAGAAACTGATTTTATTTTTGGAACTCTGTTCCCAAGTATTCCCATGCATAATAGAGAGACACATGCGATCGTATACAAATGTGAGCAAGGTTTGAAATTATTATGTTTTAGTCAAATATTATAACTGTTTGGGCTTGTTGCTGTCAATTTGCAGTCTACAAATGATTTGCTGTGTACTGTACTGAACTCTACTCCACTCTATTCTACTCTACTGTACAGTACAGGACGGTACTATATTTGAACTATACTATTTTTCTTTACTGTATTTTTGTATTTGCATTTATTATGGATCCCCACAGCGGGGACTGGGGCGGCAGGTAGCTTAGTGGTTAAGAGCGTTGTGCCAGTAACCGAAAGGTCGCTGGTTCTAATCCCCGAGCCGACTAGGTGAAAAATCTGTCTGTGCCCTTGAGCAAGGCACTTAACCCTAATTGCTCCTGTAAGTCGCTCTGGATAAGAGCGTCTGCTAAATGACGTAAAATGTAAATGTTCCGGCCCCCCGACCACCCACTCAATAAAAATCATTACGTGGCTAAATCTAGTTGATGATCCTTCCCATATTTGTTGATGCATGAACCAACGGCACAATAAAGGTCACTTAGGAGTACTGCTCTAGGGCTGACAGTGGCAGAGCCATTATTTAAGGACGTATACCACATTTACAACACCTTGGTCTCCTACTCCTATGTGCGTTACTTAGTATTTGTTTCAGAACATAAGGCGTTGGCTTATAGCCTAGCTAACATGTTTTTTGGAATACATGAGTCTAGCTAAGAAACTTGCAGTTAAGAGAAAGTGAATGCATGGGTAGACCTATTTACAGTGTTTATAGGTCCCGGCAGTGGAGTCAGTTTGCTGCCAGGCCTCTACGTAGCTCAGACAGTCAGGCTGCATTTGGGTAATGATAAGTCAGAGGTAATTATTGGGGGATAAATGACTAAGATTGTTATAGAGAGCACTATTTTCCCCTCTAATGATATGGCCCAGGGCTTGATATATGACTCCTCTCTAGTTGTAATAGCCATCCACTGTGGTCTGGGAAAGCTGTTCTTGGCCTCCTCTGTGCTTCAGTAAAGTGCACATGAGGGCCCTCCACTAGAGTGTCAGTATTCTGGAAGGTGTGTTGTGTCTGGTTAGGAGTGAGTGGATTTTGGAGGATTTTTTGATGATTTCTTGTCGAGTTCCTCATTGTCGTTAGTGTTGAAGTAGCCTAAGGTCATTTCCATGTAAAAGGACCCATGAGCACCAACATGTGAAGTTCATAGGAGCATGTCAAATTGGGTGTCAGATGAAAGCTAAGAGTGAATGTTTTTGAGAAATGAGGTCATATGTACATTTTCAACCATTTTCCACCCAAAATATTTGCAATAAGCAAAGGCTTTGATTTCTTGTCAAACGGATGGAAAATAGATAGAAAACATCAACCATAAAAACTCTTAGAAGGTATTTGAATACATGAAAACACTAATGTTGAAGTAAAGACCTCTCCCAACTAATATCAACACTTATATTTAGTTTAGGATCATTTCTCTGCCTTCTGTACGTTTAAGAAACATTGCCTTGTGCTTTGAAATTCCGTTACCAAAAAAACAGATCTTTAAGATATTTTCTAATTTCTCTCCCTCATGAGGAGGGAGGATAATGACATTTCACAGAAGTAACAAGTAAAGGTAGACCTATCAATTAGTTATAGTGTTTTTACTGATATCAATTTTGTTTATGAATTATTAAGTGATTTAAACTCGAAATTCTGTTACCAAATCGGTAACATAATTTCTGAAAATGGGTAACAGAATTTCTGTAATTGAATTGGCTACAATGGGAAATCATGGCAAACCACAGTTGTCACCTGCTACTGTCCTCCCTTCAACTGGCATACTGTTATGTTCAGCTGATAACTGTTTTCTTTCTCTTTCTGTTGTCTGGTGGTCATAGCAAGAGTGTTAAATGTCTGGACAACCCCCTCCCCCCCCCCTCTCTCTCTCTCTCTCTCTCTCTCTACTCTCCCTCTCCAATTAATGTCACCTCTTTCCATTTACTGTAACCAGCATCCTCACGCACTGAACACCGACCGACACCAGATGTCCATAGACATTGAAAAGCAGTTGAAATTTGGTCAGTCCGCCCTGGTCTTGATTTCAACGTCCACAGATGTTGTTTTTTGGTCCGGTCTGGACCAGCCTTGATTTCAACGTCTACATACGTCTGGACCGGCCTTCATTTGGCCCAAACATAGACGTCCATGATTGGTTCAGATTTGGTCCGGTGGACCGGACCGGACCAAATCTGAACCAATCATAGATGTCTATGTTTCACAAGTTTGGACAGTACAGTACAGTAGAGTACAGTAGAGTACAGAACAGACTATGGGAGGCGCACAGTACTACATAGAGCCATGACTACATGGAACTATATTCCACATCAGGTAACTGATGCAAGCAGTAGAATCAGATTAAAAAAACAGATTAAAATACACCTTATGGAACAGCGGGGACTGTGAAGCAACACAAACATAGGCACAGACACATGCATACACACACATGATAACATACGCTCTATACACACACGTACACATAGATTTGTTGTAGATATGTGGTAGTAGGGGCCTGAGGGCACACACTTAGTGTGCTGTGAAATCTGTTATTAAATTATTATAATGTAAAAAAAAAAAATTATAACTGCCTTAATTTTGCTGGACCCCAGGGCTTGGCAGCAGCTAATGGCGATCCATAATAAATACAAATACAAAAATACAGTAAAGAAAAATAGTATAGTTCAGTCAAATATAGTACCGTCCTGTACTCCTCATTAGAGTGGAGTAGAGTACAGTACACAGTAGAGCACACTAGAGTTGAGTGTACTGTACTGTACTGAACTCTACTCTACTGTTCTGTGCTGTACTGTACTGAGCTCTCCTGTGCAAACTTGTGAAACATAAACGTCTATGATTGGTTGAGATTTGGTCCTGCCTGGACCAAATTTGGTCTTGTTTGGTGGCGGAGGTCATAAAATGCCAAGTAACTTTTTATAATAATGCATTGGAAAAACATTGGGCTTTGTAGTTACAGGAAAATAGGAATTAACAATAGAAGCTAGATTCAGACACCCCACCTCCCCCCTCCCCCCTCCTACAACAACTAGCTTAATCACAGAAAAGGTACCAAATCCAACTCCTCGTTAAGTCCACCTGGGTATAGTGTGCCTAATGTGAAAATCCAAAAGGACTCTATGCAGAAGAGTTATTTCAATATTGTCACCTCTACGTTTAGCCCAAACCTTTTCCATACCAATACACTGCTTGTCATCAGTTCTATGGCCTACTTCCATAAAATGTCTGGAAACAGGAGAGGCGATATCGCAGCACTTATTGTTGCTGCGGTATTCATTAAGCCGGATTGTCAGTCTCCGTGATGTCTGACCAATGTAAAATTAGTTTTTGCAGGGAAACATTAACAAATAAACTACATGGGTAATGTTGCAGGTTATGCAGGTCCTCTGTAGCTCAGCTGGTAGAGCACGGCGCTTGTAACGCCAAGGTAGTGGGTTCGATCCCCGGGACCACCCACACACAAAAATGTATGCACGCATGACTGTAAGTCGCTTTGGATAAAAGCGTCTGCTAAATGGCATATTATTATTATTTATTATTATTATACAGGAGTTTATATTATATTTACGGTTGGTGATGGGACACACAAAAAACGGTTGGTGATGGGGTTTACAGTGCCTTCAAAAAGTATTCATATCCCTTCACTTATTCTACATTTTGTTGAGTTACAGCCTGAATTCTAAATATGTTCTTCTCAACCATCGACACACAATACCCCATAATGACAGTGAAATGTTTTTATACATTTTTGCTGATTTATTGAAAATAAAATGTCAATTTACATAAGTATTCACACCCCTGAGTCAGTACTTTGTAGAAGCACCTTTGGCAGCGATTACAGCTGTGAGTCTTCCTGGGTAAGTCTCTAAGCACTTTACACACCTGGATTGTGCAACATTTGCCCATTATTCTTTAAAGAATTCTTCAAGCGCTGTCAAATTGGTTGTTGATTATTGCTAGACAACCATTTTGAGGTCTTGCCATATATTTTCAAGTAGATTTAAGTCATAACTGTAACTTGGCCACTCATGAACATTCACTGTCTTCTTGGTATGCAACTCCAGTGTATATTTGGCCTTGTGTTTTAAGTTATTGTCCTGCTGAAAGGTGAATTCATCTCCCAGTGTCTGGTGGAAAGCAGATTGAACCAGTTTTTCCTCTTGGATTTTGCCTGTGCTTAGCTCTATTCCTTTTATTTGTTATCCTGAAAAACTCCCCAGTCTTTAACAATTACAAGCATAACCATAACATGAAGCAGCCACCACTATGCTTGAAAATATGGAGCAGGGTACTCAGTAATGTGTTGTATTGGATTTGACCTAACCATAACACTTTGTATTCAGGACAAAATGTGAATTGCTTTGCCACATTTTTGCAGTATTACTTTAGTGTCTTGTTGCAAACACGATGCATGTTTTGGAACATTTTTATTCTGTACAGGCTTCCTTCTTTTCACTCTGTCAATTAGGATACTATTGTGGAGTAACTACAATGTTGTTGATCCATCATCAGTTTTCAATCACAGCCATTTAGCTCTGTAACTGTTTTAAAGTTACCATTATTGCAACTTATTATGTGACTTGTTAAGCACATTTTTACTCCTGAACTTAAGGTTTGCCATAACAAAGGGGTTGAATACTTATTGACTCAAGACATTTCACATTTCAAATTTCAAATGTTCTTAGAAAAATATAATTCCACTTTGACATTCAGCAGAAATGTGTGTAAGCCAGTGACAAAAAAATCTAAATGTAATACATTTTAAATTCAGGCTGTAACACAACAAAATGTGGAAAAAGTCAAGGGTGTGAATACTTTCAGAAGGCACTGTAGATAATTTGGATAGGAAGCACGAAAATGCATACTATCCCACCTGGAATACTTAGTCTAGTCAGAGCCCTCCCAGTCCCTATAGTAACTTCATGTGTGGCAGTATTTACTGTGAGCAGCCAACTAGCAAAGCCCTGCAATTAGCTTTTACAAGGCTAAATACAGCAACAGTAAGCAAACTACTTTGGAAGAAACATTTATGCAGTCAAGACAATGTTTTCGATGTGTTCAAAGACGCACAGATTCCATTTTAAGTGTTTTGAATGATTTAATGCATACAGTGCATTCGGAAAGTATTCAGACCCCTTGACTTTTTCCACATTTTGTTACGTTACAGCCTTATTCTAAAATTGATTACATTGTCCCCCTCCCCTCCCCTCATCAATCTACACACAATACCCCATAATGACAAAGCAAAAACAGGTAATTCTTTGCACATTTATAAAAAATTAAAAAAAAAACTGAAAATATATTTACATACACTACCGTTCAATAGTTTGGGGTCACTTAGAAATTAGTTTGAGAAACAGACACCTCACAGGTCCTCAACTGGCAGCTTCATTAAATAGTACCCACAAAACACCAGTCTCAACGTCAACAGTGAAGAGGCGACTCCGGGATGCTGACCTTCTAGGCAGAGTTCGGGCTCTGGCTGGTCCGCTCAAGGACATTAAGAGACTTGTCCCAAAGCCACTCCTGCGTTGTCTTGGCTGTGTGCTTAGGGTTGTTGTCATATTGGAAGATTAACCTTCGCCCCAATCTGAGGTCCTGAGCGCTCTGTAGCAGGTTTTCATCAAGGATCTCTCTGTACTTTGCTCCGTTCGTCTTTGCCTCAATCCCGACTAGTCTCCCAGTCCCTGCCACTGAAAAACATCCCCACAGTGTGATGCTGCCACCACCATGCTTCACCATAGGGATGGTGCCAGGTTTCCTCCAAACATGATGCTTGGCATTCAGGCCAAAGAGTTCAATCTTGGTTTCATCAGACCAGAGAATCTTGTTTCTCATGGTCTGAGAATCTTTAGGTGCCTTTTGGCAAACTCCAAGCGGGCTGTCATGTGCCTTTTACTGAGAAGTGGCTTCTGTCTGGCCACTCTACCATAAAGGCCTGATTGGTGGAGTGCTGGAGAGATGGTTGTCCTTCTGGAATGTTCTCCCATCTCCACAGAGGAACTCTAGAGCTCTCTCAGAGTGACCATCAGTTCTTGGTCACCTCCCGGACCAAGGCCCTTCTCCCCCAATTGCTCAGTTTGGCTGGGCGGCCAGCTCTAGGAAGAGTATTGGTGGTTCCAAATGGAGGCCATTGTGTTCTTGGGGACCTTCAGTGCTGCAGACATTTTTTGGTACCCTTCTCCAGATCTGTGCCTCGACACAATCCTGTCTCGGAGCTCTACGGACAATTCCTTTGACCTCATGGCTTGGTTTTTGCTCTGACATGCAATGTCAACTGAGACCTTATATAGGCAGGTGTGTGCCTTTCGAAATCATGTCCAATCAATTGAATTTACCACAGGTGTACTCCAATCAAGTTGTAGAAACAGCTCAAGGACAATCAATGGAAACAGGATGCACCTGAGCTAAGTTTCGAGTCTCATAGCGAAGGGTCTGAATACTTATAATACATTTGCAAACATTTCTAAAAACCTGTCTTCGCTTTGTCATTATGGCATATTGTGTGTAGATTGCTGAGAAAAATAAAATATTTAATCAATTTTAGAATAAGGCTGTAACGTAAAAACAAAATGTGGAAAAAGTCAAGTGGTCTGAATACTTTCCAAGATTCTGCCAGTAAGTAAGTAGTATATTCTGCTACCTGTCCCATAGGAGTGACTGGGTTTAGTATTCCTAAATGTCTTTGTTTGTCCTCTATAGAGGTAATTGTGATCACAACCAAAGAGGTGCAGAAGATGATCAGCACAGACCCCAAGATGAAGCTGGATGTGAAGATGAAGTTAGACATAGTGTGTATCCAGGAGGATGCTGACATGGGCACCGCAGACGCCCTCAGACACATCCAGCAGAAAATCAAGGTGGGTCACAGACTCAGACAGTTGATCTCAGAATTTGCATCTCAAATGGCACCCTATTCCCTACATAGTGCACTCCTTTTGACAAGGGCCCATAAGGAGGATAAGGTGCCAATAGGGCCACATATATAGACAGTTGATCTCATAGCCAGATTGGCTGCTCTCTGCCCACGCATTGGCTGGATCTAATGTTGATGCTCCTGGGGGATAAATCCTAACCTTGAGTTATGGGTGTATTACTAGGAAGTTGACGTAAGTCATGCAATGAAGTCAATGGGAGATTTGCACACAAAAAAATGTGGCGTTGAATAATCGGATTTCAGGTTGAAATTCGACTTTTAGCAGTAAATACTGTTAAGTGTATCATTCCTATTGTAAACTTGAGATTTTAATGTTTTTAGTGTCATTTTGAATATGGTTTATGTATCAATATACTGTACAAGCATATCAATACAGACCACATTAGTGTACTGTATGTCCAACAGTCCAAGTCAACACGGTCTCATAGGAGAGCACCTCGTTGATAAGGTGGAATCAGTGATTAATTGCTTTGGTATTTGGGGGGCACAGAGTCAGCTTTAGGCTGATAATGGCTGATAATTTGAAAGAAGGAAATTGAGAAAATGCCTGGACAAATGTTCTCACAGAGTGTCAGTGTTTGTACTAGGCCGTGTGGGGAGGGCTGGAGGTAGTGAAGGTGGTTCAGCCAGTGAAGGAGCGAGGGTACTACTAGCCCCAGAATGAGCCTATAGAAGACAGGTGCCCCATGTTTCACCTGGACACAGTATGGAAAGGTCAGCGAGGCTATTGAAGCAGGAGATCCTGTGTGCCTCTGGGTGACCACTGAGCCGTGCGTTCCTGGCCCCGGCTAAGCGAAGGGCCTCATTTCACCTGCTGCAAACCTGCCTCCCCCACTCCCTCCCTACAGCCGTTCCCCTCTCTCCCCCTCCCCTTGCTGCTCTTCAAACAGATGATGTCAGAAGCAGCCCGCTGCTGTCCAACGCACGGAGCGGATCTCTGAAACCCACCCTGGTCTGTAGTATTCTGGAGCCGGGACTTGGAGACATGTTGGGGGATCTGGGATCACTGGGGTCCAGAGGGGAGAGATATGGACTGTTGCCTATCTTTCTATATTTGGTATTTTTTGTTGTTGTTGTTGTCCAAATTAGATCATATTCAATGATTTTTGTTATGGTTTTATACACATTGATTTATTCTAGTAAGGAGTAAGTAAACCAGAGATGTTGTACTGTAACTGTATAAAGTATTAAGACAAGTTCAGACTTAAGAGTGATCGTGTGGCTCATCATAAGCCCCTATTCAGACTCTCTGTTTGCATTAAACTTACAGTAAAGCCACATTACAAAAACACAGACATATCCGTTGACTGTCTGGGGGCAAACAGAACCAAGCCGACTCAGCTGGCCTCCAGGGAGAGAAGGGGACTGGCTCCAGCATGCTCCTTCCCTCCAAGTGCCTCCACATGCCTTTATTCCTAATCCAGCACAGTCACGTAGATTAAAGGCATTGCATTGCATAGTCCCCCAGCACACAAACAGACACTGAGGTGATGAGAGAAGAAACCCAAATCCCCGCATAGGAATCACTGTTGTCTCTCCCCTCCCAGACCTTCCCATCAACACGAACACACTGCACCTGGAGAATGATGGGTGTATCTGACTAAATACTGTAAATTCCATCTGCCTAAAGTCACCTATTGAAAAAAGATGAATGTACAAGGACTATGTGTTCAGTGCAGTGATAAAGCATTAAGCCACATTGACGTTTGCCTGTGATTTGGGCAGTATGTATGACACAGAGCAGGCTTTTCATGTGAGTGGGGACACAGGAGACATGGTTGAATGAGAGCAGGAGGTCAGGAGTTCTTGCTATTCCCTCCCATGTGCGCACACACACACACACACACACACACACACACACACAGCTTTTGGTAGAGCTCCCCCCTCTGTCATAAGTGCATACAATAAAAGAGACTACACTTGAATAAGGCTAAAACAAGTTTGAACCAGTCAATCTTTTTCTGATATTTCATTTTTGGGCATGTGTTGGTGATGAGGTATGGATAAGAAAGATTATGAACTAATTCTATTGTAATGCAATTTTAAATATTGTTGGATATTATTAGCGTCATCTACAGTACAAAATGCATATTGAAAAAAGCATCCCTCCGCATTATTGTTCATGCACACATAACCCAAACTGTTAAATCGAGATCAGTTGTCACTGGAATGTCTCAACTGTAAATGCAAGTTGAGAGTGCTCAGCAGAGATTTTGCCTAACTGCTGAAACCAGAGGTGTCTGACTGATTGCTCAGTCCGCTCAATGAGCGTGCGTGCGTGTTGTGTGTGCGTGCTCCGTGTGTGTATGTGCACAATGTGTGTGTTTGTGCGTGCCGTGTGTGTGTCTGTCTGTGGACTGTGTAGAGACAGCAGGAATAGCGTGCAGGCCCTCCTGTCAGATAGATAGAGAGAGAGAGCACACCCTCTCTCCTCTCTCCAGTGCTGCATGCAGGGTGGTCTCACCTGGCTGAGAGGGGAGGGAGCCTGGGAGGGGGGAACAGGGACTTGGGGCAGCCGGGCAGAACCAGGCAGGGGAGGCAGGCAGGCAGTGTGGGTGGCCCTGACCTAACCACCAGAGATCAGGCCTGCTGAAAGGCCACAAACCCTGTCAGATAATCCTCCAGCTGACACCATTCCAGTGTCACATTTTGCGTCCCAAATGGCACCCTACTCACTATCTAGTGCACTACTGTTGACCAGGGCTCGTAGGGCTCAGTTCAAAGTAGTGCACTATATAGGGAATAGGGTGCCATTTGGAACATACCCACAGAGTTGCCTACTGACTGTCTGACAACCCTCAGTCCGCCTCCGACCCACCAACCGACTGCCCGACCGGACAGCGTGTGGGGTGACAGACAGACCCGTCCCTCTTGACCAGCAGCAACAAAGGGCTTTTTGCCACTTTTGGTGGTTGGTTAACTTGGGACTCAGAAATAGAAATGAGTGCTATGTGTTTAACCATTAGGAGCTGCCTAGCAAATCGGTTTACTCTGATGTTGTGACTTCAGCTAATGGGGGATTATCCCAGCTGTTGACAGTATACAACATTGTACAGCCAGATGTACTTGCCCGTGTATTAGATGCATATGTAGTTATGTGACCTGACCTGAATATAATAAGTGTAGCCTATTTCTATTTTCATTGTGGTAATATAACTGATGCCTCAAAGGGACACTCAATGGGATATATTTCAAGCAAATGTTTACTTTTGTCACGATTTACTGTGAAAAGTATTTCATAGCTTCAAAATCTTTCTTGACAATATACAGCACCAGTCAAAAGATTGGACACATCTACTTCCTCCAGGGTTTTTCTTAATTGTTATTTTCTACATTGTAGAATAATAGTGAAGACATCAAAACTATGAAATAACACACATGGAATCATGTAGTAACGAAAAAGTTACTACAAAATGTTAAACAAATCAAAATATATTTTATATTTGAGATTCTTCAAAGTAGACACCCTTTGCCTTGATGACAGCTTTGTACACTCTTGGCATTCTCTCAACCAGCTTCATGAGGTAGTCACCTGGAATGCATTTCAATTAACAGGTGTGCCTTGTTAATTTGTGAAATGTATTTCCTTCTTAATGCGTTTGAGCCAATCAGTTGTGTTGTGACAAGATAGGGTTGGTATACAGAAGATAGCCCTATTTGGTCAAAGACCAGGTCCATATTATGGCAAGAACAGCTCAAATAAGCAAAGAGAAACGACAGGTCAGTCAATCCGGAAAATGTTAAGAACTTTGAACGTTTCTTCAAGTGCAGTTGCAAAAACCATCAAGCGCTATGATGAAACTGGCTCTCATGAGGACCGCCACAGGAAAGGAAGACCCAGAGTTACCTCTGCTGCAGAGGATAAGTTCATTAGAGTTACCAGCCTCAGAAAATGAAGCCCAAATAAATGCATCACAGAGTTCAAGTAACAGACACATCTCAACATCAGCTGTTCAGAGGAGACTGTGGGAATTTCTGCAAAGAAATCACTACTAAAGGACACCAATAAGAAGAAGAGACTTGCTTGGGCCAAGAAACACGAGCAATGGACATAAGACCGGTGGAAATCTGTCCTTTGGTCTGATGAGTCCAAATTTGAGATTTTGGGTTCCAACCGCCGTGTCTTTGTGAGACGCAGAGTAGGTGAACGGATGATCTTCGCATGTGTGGTTCACACCGTGAAGCATGGAGGTGTGATGGTGTGGGGGTGCTTTGCTGGTGACACTGTCAGTGATTTATTTAGAATTCAAGGCACACTTAACCAGTATGGCTATCACAGCATTCTACAGCGATACGCCATCATTTGTTTTTCAACAGGACAATGACCCAACACACCTCCAGGCTGTGTATAGGCTATTTGACCAAGAAGGAGAGTGATGGAGTGCTGCATCAGATGACCTGGCATCCACAATTACCCGACCTCAACCCAATTGAGATGGTTTGGGATGAGTTGGACCGCAAAGTGATGGAAAAGCAGCCAAGAAGTGCTCAGCATATGTGGGAACTCCTTCAAGACTGTTGGAAAAGCATTCCAGGTAAAGCTGATTGAGAGAATGCCATGAGTGTGCAAAGCTGTCATCAAGGCAAAGGGTGGCTACTTTGAAGAATCTCAAATATAATATATATTTTGATTTGTTTAACACTTTTTTGGTTACTACCTGATTCCGTATGTGTTATTTCATAGTTTTGACATCTTCACTATTATTCTACAGTGTAGAAAATAGTAAAAATAAAGAAAAACCCTTGAATGAGTAGGTGTGTCCAAACTTTTGACTGGTACTGTATGTTGAAACCAAACCCCCACCCCCACAAATGTCTGTTCTAACTTTTAAAACCGGTCTGAAAACCATAGTTTTAGGATTAGCAATAGGAGAAGATGCTCCGGTAGTCTCTCTACAGTCTCCAGTAGCACAGAGACAGACAGTGGGGTTTGGGGCCCATGGCTCTGGCCTGGTTGTTATCTGTTGACCATGTGTGCTGTGGACTGTGGAGCGGAGCAGAGCCTGACTGCTGAGCTGCATGCCCCGTGTGCAGAACGTCACGGCAGGGCCTCTCCCCAGGCCTCCCCAATGAGGCATGCAGCCTTTATAGAGCCAGGCATGCTTTAACAGGCCTCACTCCTCACTTGCCTTCCCTGTTTATTTATCCACAGGCCCAAGATGGCCAGAGCAGATGGGAACCAGACATCTCAAACAGAAACAATGGCAAATGCAGCAATGGATTTATTGCTGGATTCCCCTGTGCCCCTTGCTACACTACGCTAGGCTGCCTGGGAGTTAGGAGAGCACAATGTTTATCAAGGAGGTTCACCCTCCTTATCCGCTCCTTCTCTCTCTCTCCACTCTCTCTTTCTCTCCACTCTCTCTCTTCACCTCTCTCTCTCCACTTTGCCCCCCCCCCAGCACCACCACCCCTCTTATGAACCCATTTTTGTTGTGACTGTCGTTAAGAAAAACATGGCCAAACTTTTCATGCGCTAAGGACTTTTTATGGAGCATCATTGGCTCATATGTTCATGCATATATGCACATCGTTTGAGATGAATGTCACAGCTGCGAGGAAGCTCGGGTGTTTTAAGCATAACGTAAAGCTGGACGGAATAAAGTGTAATTCAAGGCTGGAGTGCGTGATAACTTATTGAGCATTGCCTAGGGACATCTAAATGTCTGTTCAATTTCATTTGAAGGGTGTTCCTCCTATTAGGCAGAATAATGTCACAGACTCTGATGTGAAAGGGTCCTGGGCATGCTTTAGAAAAAGTTTAAGAGGATATTGTCAAATCAAATCAAATTTTATTTGCCACATGCGCCGAATACAACAGGTGTAGACATTACAGTGAAATGCTTACTTACAATCCCTTAACCAACAATGCATTTTTTAAAAAAGTGTTAAGTAAAAAAAATAAGAGCAAATAACTAAAGAGCAGCAGTAAAATAAAATA